TCAAAACGTCCTGTGACATTAACATTCAAATGTATGCTGATGATATAAAAATCTTAGGCGTACTCGATCGATACAACTGTGAAAGTGTTGGTGCTCTGAAACTTTCCATTCATAAAATGGTTGATTGGGCGGCCCACTGGGACATTCCACTGAATCTGAGTAAGACTTCGGTTATGCACATTGGAGATCTTGGCCCGGCTGATTACTACATCAACGACATTAGGCTTACAATGTGTCAGTCAGCTATGGATCTTGGTGTGCTTTTTGACTCAAAGCTGAACTTCTACTCCCATATAAACCAAACCGTAGAGAAGGCCTTCGTCAGTCTATTTGCTCTTTTCCGTAGCGTGCAATCTTCGGATGCGGCAGTGCTCACTCGTCTATACAAAGCCTATGTACTGCCTCGTCTCGAATATTGCTCACAGATCTGGAGCCCATATATCAAGAAATATATCAGAAAGATTGAGAAGGTTCAGCGTGTGTTCACTCGCCTTCTTTGGTACAGAATTACAAGTAGCCTTCGCAGCAATTTGCCGAGCTATGAAGAGCGTCTGAAGATCTTTTCCATGAAATCATTACAGTGTAGGCGGGTGATTGCTGATCTAGTGTTTTCCTTTCGAGTCCTCCGTGGGGAATCTAAATTGCGCGCTAGTAAGTACTGGCTCTTCAGACCTGTTGGTGGTAGGCGTGGTGGGTTCAATCTGGACTATTCTCGCGTCCGTCCTAGGTTTCGCGCTTTAACTCACAATGTTATATTTCATCGGTGCGCGAGATGGCTTAACACGCTACCCCCGGAATTACTCGGAGCAGCTACTAGTAATTCGTTTGAAAGAAGAATAAACAAGGTAAATCTTGTCATGCTCTCAGTCTCTCCTCATGATGTAATGCTGTCTTTTTCTTTTCAGTAACGTTCTTCCCTTCCGTGTTCGACTGCATCACTGTGATTGTGCTTCTTCCGGTACGCCATATAGCACGCAGTGTAAACTTCTGCGTTCTTCACTGGATGGTAGGGGGATGCCTAGCATCTTATTTTGAGGGCTGTTCATCACATATCGTTGTTTTCTTTTGTTCCTCCACTCGTTCATGAGAGCCTGCGTCATCGTTGTCACTTGGTTTGTCATGAGGAGTTCCATCCAGTTATATCTGTCTCTATACTACCTTTCTCAAGATTATGCCTTCTATGAAACGTCGGTCTGGTCTAGGCTCTAGGTCTAGTAGATCTGTTTTGTCGCTTCTGACCAGTGTGTCGGTTCCACGTGGGCTGCTGGTATACCCGTGTCTCGAAGTGCCGGCACACCCCTATGACCCCACATGTGGCGCTAAGGGCACTGTGGCCAGCTGGTGCGGACAGTTGCTTCATCACCGGTTACTAGTACCTTGTTAGGAAAGCCTTCATGTCACCATTATTCCGCAATTTCTCTGCGGTTTAAGGACACCAAATTCTGACCTTCTCCTGCCGTCAATTTTGTTTGGAACTCATCCTCCTGACAAACTGAGTGCTGCACACTGTCTCAGTTGAATTGTAGTTGATTTAATTTTTTTTTGTTATTTGAGTTTGTCTTATTTAGTTTGTTTTATTTTTTCTTAGTTGTTTCTTGAGTTATCTGTTTTCTCCATTACCACATTGTTTAACTTGGGCGCGTTCCATGTACGCATAAGTAAGTAAGTAAGTAAATTTGGTTTGAAAATTGTGAGTCTAAAATGAAAGTGGTATTACGTTGGGAAAAGAGCCTTGCACACTTCGACCAAAATTTCCTCCACTAAACGACACCTCCAAGCGAAAGGGTAATCACTAACAATATCTAAGACAAGCGCACATCTTTCGCAGAACTTCTCGATTCTACTCTCGCAGAACTACGACAACTACGGTGAAGAGAAAGTGCAGACCTTATTTTCAAGTGGACCTTGATTTTTGGAATTTTTCTTTCTGCAGGATGTAGTAGGTATCAGAGGAGGCGGTAAGAGCCTAGTAAGTTCGGTGGATAAGCTGGTTACTATGGCATTTTTCAACTGAGACCCATAATCTTTGGCGTAGCCTCATCGCCGTAGGCGGTCTTCGCATACAGCGATGAGGCTATGCTAAAAGCTTAATGATCTTCTGATGAGCAGAAAAAGGAGAATTTCTGAATGAAATCAATCGCGACGCCATTCGTGCTCAAAACTGATTAGAGCAAATGCGACCGTCACAGCTGCGCCACTACCCAGCGTCATCGCTTTAAGATCCACCAATAACACAGTGAAATCTTTATTCCATGCACATCTGCTTTTGGCTAAGCAGGTCTCTTTTCTCCTTGAGGGATCCTGTGAAGGATACATGCATGGTTCACGCAGGGAACCCAGCTCTGTTACAGGAGCAAAAGCATGGGTGTTGTCATTTAGGTGGACTAACTAGGGAGGTCGTTCAGGACGTGGAGCGCTTTTTGAAAACGGTTTTTTGCATGATGTGGGGTCACGTGCATGGAGTACCAAACTGGTGTTCATTTTTCCTGAACGCCTCTGGGAATGCCAAAAATGGAGTGAAAAAGAAGTCCATGGAAACCGACTGTTTTTGAGCCTGAATGGGCTCTAAATCACTCGCAACTTCGGCCAGTTGCTGCCTATAGGGTCCTTATAAAGGTTGTACTGGTATCGATGAGAAAAGTAGTCGCCAATGGGGTCTTACTTGTGGCACGTAGTTAAGAGTCGACGGCTAGTTGGAATGGGCTCTTAAGCAATCGAAGTGGTAGCTGCCGCAACGATCGAATGGCCTAGTGGATAGCGTGGAGGGTTCTCAAGCAGACGGTGGGGATGGGGGATGATGGTTCGACTCCCCTCGGCTTGCACGTTTTTGCATTTTTATTTTCCGTTGTTGTCGCTTCCATATACGTCTGTTAATGAATTTTACTCGGATATCTGCCATTTATAGGCACATCCTAAATAGTTAGTCGGTGCTATTCAGCAATTTCGATTTCACATACCATTAAGCAAGAACTTGTCTGAAAGTTGAACTTTATATCATGTGGGTATTCGGTGCCCTGTCACGACTAGCGACCAGTTGAACTTTCAGCTCTAGTGCCATTTATCCCCAATTTGAAGCCACGTCTTTCTCCCACTGGAGTCGCTATGTACATTCGTTTGAGGGACTTGCAGGGCCATTCTGACGCCAGATTGGGTTGACGTCAAGGACAAGTGTCAGAATCGTGATCAGGACCATCGATTACCCCTATAGGCAAACTTTCAGCCAAAAAATTTTTTTGACTTTTTTGAGTCTGTGCATTGGGTTATGCTCAAGAGTCACTTTGTTGAGAGTCTACTTTGTTGCTGCGTTATCGGACAAACACTCGTACGAAAAAAAACTAGCAACAACCATAAACGCCATCGAAAAAAAGAACAAAATAGTCATCATTCCTCCAGGTGCATTTGAAAAAGTGAAGAAATCGGATGAGTCTCTCCTCTTGGTAGGGAGGCTACCAAGAGGGAGGAGGACATCTTCGTTGAGCGAGCCGTCGCGGGGGGTCGACATGTCCAGGATGGTTTTTCACTTGTTCTGCGGCCACCCATGCCCATGCCAAGTATGAATGGACCTTATGAGCACCAAATCCGCGATACGGCTGCCCGGCGGCCCA